CCATTAAAAAACGGCTACGTACAAGACTGGGTCATCTATCAGAGAGTAACCACACCAAATTCGTTGTTCCAGCTCCAGTGGTGTGACCGCCAGACGTCCCGCCCCACGACGACTCAGACGGGAGGTCTCCTGGGGAACCTGGTGCAGCGGCTACAGAAAAATCTCAATTAAAGAGGACAGTTCAATTGACAAAACCATGCATTCCTTTTTTTGAATTGATCGTTATTTACCCTTAAAAAAAATCGTGAAAATGACCTATTCTTCATGCCGCCAGAGTGGACTACCCCCTTAAGGCATCTCTCGATGAAAAAAAAAATGTGATTCATTATTTCATATCAAATAGTTTCAAATACCTTTTTTAATAACCATATAACAATCTTCCACTAAAACCACCATCAAGTGCAGCTGTGACCCATTTCACAGCTGTGGCAAATGCTCTCGATTCCGATCCCTTTTCGGTTCCAAATCACACTATGTAACCGGAATGACTTTCGCTCGTTGATGACATCAACCATCATCTTAGTCAGCAGAAATGCGTTATGAACGAACCATGAAAACAAAAATCTCAGGCGACTACTGCGACGACGATAACGGTGACGTTCTCCACAAAAAAAAAAAATATGGCACTTCAAATGATACGCTGCGATGGAGGAAAAAAACAAGACGACGATAAAACAAAGAACACGAACGAAACGCGCTCGTAAATGGCATAAAAATCAAATTTATTCCATCATCGGTGGCCTTTGCCCCTAGCCAGACTGCAGTCCGGACGAGGATGGAAATCTTGCGATTCAAGTCACAGTTGACTTTTATTTTTATCGTTCGACCATTTTTTTTTGCGTGCGCTATAAATTTGGAAAATATTTCTCTGGAATAACTTGTAATTCCGAAGCAATACAAACATGGCATAAAATCAAATCTGATTCCGGTTCCGGCCTGCCTGCCTGGATCGTTACCTGTGCACCCACCGAGTAATAAAGAAAACGGCTCGTTAAACGAACGCGTGTTATCATAACGTGATGGTGCTGGTGGCATTCACCCTTCCTTCGCTCGATAAGCGCCATCGCGAACAACGGTGTAATAATTTTTAATATTTACTTTCATCCATGGCTGGCACCAACCGTGGAGTGCTTTTATGTGGGGCAGGGCTATCAGAGGTAAAAACAATATAGCGATCGTTTCTGGTGGCACGGTGCTGCCATCTGCCTGGCTAGATGTCGAATCGAATTGCATCTGTCGCGCCACGCCGGTGTCGTTGGCAGCAAATTTTTATTCCGCGAACAAATTTTTACGACATCCAATATCTGCCTACTGTGTGATGACCTCTCCTCGCCAGGGCCCGCGTTCTACGCCTACTGCTATTCTCGATTGTTGTATTCGCCTTTTTCAAATTGTGTAAGTGGAACTTTATCGGAATGCCATAAAGGCAATTCGAACGAACGGCGATCATCGAACGAGCAAACGACGGCGACGACGAAACAAGAATCTAAACTAGCCGCAGTAAACTGGATCTCGCACAGACAGAGTGAAGCAAGCGAGCGATGGGGAGGGGGAGGGGACGGACATCCCCGTCCTCAGGAAGCTGCGTTGTGCCGCTGTTGGTTGATGTGATCTTATCACGATGGCTTTTATGATCAAGGGGGAAGACGGGGCGATGTGGTATCAGCTCGGCACTGCCTTCCGTTTCTTCTGCGTTGACCTTTTCCCGGGGTAGAGCGTGGAGAGGCGGGAGGAGAGAAATTTAAGCGATGTTTTATTCAATTTTATCTCCGCGCTGTGCTGACTGGCTCGTGATGTGCACCAAGCCCAAGATAGGTCCATTTGGGACCACGGAAGGCATCCATGGAAGGCACGGATGCGGGCCTCTCGATGATAGACCAATTTAGAGACGACAACAGCCGGGAGTGATGATTTATGACCGTTTGATATACACCCAAATTGATATGTAGCCAGCGTATTAGGCGGCCTGGGCTTTCTGGGGGCAGCAGCGTAAAATTGGTGTAAACACGTTATATATTTCCGCTGCACGCGCCCATTAGCGAGAAAGCTGACCGCGGGAATTTTCGATCTCCGATTGGGCGGAGATTTGGCTGGGAATTGCTTCATTCTGGGCTTTCCTGAGGTGGTTAGTTTTTAATTATTTTATTGGACTAATTTCTTAACGAGGAGCTTTTGGTTTGAAAGTGTTGACTTCGATGTCGTGTGGTTGTTTACCTTAGGGTTACCCTACAAAGATTAACCCATAAGCTCAAAACAGTTTACTGCACATTTATTATAGATGTTGCAAAACAGGCATTCGTTGTAATCGTCAATTATTCAACAAACCGACTGCATTACTCCAATCGACATTTTTGTGTCTCAACTACACAAATATCGGTCGAAAAGGCGAGCAAAAAAACATTACTCCGTTCCATAAATATGCATTAATCACATTTTCATCCTGTCATGTCAACAAGCGCTCAACGAAGAAAAGCACTTGCCTCCTTTCGTGTCATTGGACGAACAACTGGCGCGCGCGGTGGTGGTACAAAATTGGTAAAAAGCCACGTCGCGGCGTCGCGTCGTCAAGGTGGACGGGGGTGCGCATTTTTACGCCGTCCCTTTTGACAAGTGCCGGAAAGGATGGTAGACGAAGGGGACGGGGGCAACCATACAAAAGTGCAAAAACAATAACGCGAAAACAGAGCCAATAATAAAAAAAAAAACAGGAGCTGGCTGGTTGGCTGACAAGCACAAGAACGACTTTTCTCGCCCGGTTGTGCTTGCTGTGCGTTCCTTCACCTTTCGTTAGTTGATTTTTTGGTGCACTTTCCTTTGCAATTTTCCTTGATCAAAACAAGAAAAAAAGCTACTGCATTGCTCCGCGAGTCATAAATATAAATCGAATTTGTCGTGGTACTTGCCATCTTAGCAGGCGTAGATTTTTGGTGTCCAGTTGAAAGTACAAACCTTCTTCATAAATGTGCTGCAAGTCACTACAATCAAATAGATGTTTGTTGCATCTGCCTTCAATTGACAGAAGATATATATATTTATTTACGAATTGTGATTGGAAATTTCAACTGTTTAAAATTTCTCCGAGAGCCCTGAGCCCGGAAACTCCCGCACCAAATGCCGTGGCTGCGTATTCCAAGTACATGCTGGTATATTCGCAAGAAACCAATTTCCACTTATTTTCGCCTCACTGCTAGTGGTGTCGGGTTCCACCGCCTACTTCGCGCCCATTGCTCCAGAGTACAGTACAATATACCATCAAAGCAACCGAAAATATTTCCGTTGCTTTTGCACCAATATAAGTTACCTATTGCACGCGCTCCGTGGTATTCTATTTAGACGCATGAAAACACCGCGCTTCATAGGAAGCGCAAAAACAAACACACCAACAAACCACACCCTTGCGGAGATGTCGTACGGAATGTTGAATGTGCCTCTCCGGAGGGTTCCCTTCGGGGCAGGAAACAATATTCACGCGTCACTAATGAAATGGCAGCAACGTTACATTGTTTTTCCGGATCTTGCTGTTGTCCGTAGGCACTTCATTCGGCTCGGTTGACCTACCGGGTACGCGGTAATTCTCAATTTCGGATGCACGAGCAACGACTTGTAGGGGCATAGGGCTGTCATTTGTCGATATCAAAAGATGTCTTCAAAGAGTGCCATGCGTGCTTGTAAATTGCAAATCATTATAAAAATAGTTGAGAATTGATTTTCAGTGTGCAGACTTCGTGGCGAAATTGAGCCGAAATACACGTAACTTGTCTAGAAGCAACCATTAAGTTATAGTGGAATTTCTGGTTCGACGCGGGTTCCATTCCCGGTCCGGTCGAGAAAATCTTTTGCGTTCGAAATTGTCTCGACTTCTCTGGCTATAGAGTACCATTTTGGATGCAATATATACAATATACAATTTCATACACTTGATTGGCATAGACAGCTCTCAATTAAAAACTGCGGAAGTGCATCTAGTCCAATAAGATAAGAGCCGGCAAAACGCTCGCTAAAATCTAGAAGAAGAAGTTATATCACTTTCGGGGACAGCTCCAGCGTAGTCGTACCTCTCACGTCAAAGTCACGAGTTCAAATCTCATCCCCGGGACAAAGTCACGAATGACCATAAAAAAATAAAACTACAAGGGACAGCCCTATGGGGTTGTACGCAATGGTGACGTAGGACTACGTGGTCTTATATAATAAATCTTATATGTTAACTACAGCATGAGATGGTGTTTTGTGTAGGAATAGGAATTCGAGCGGTTTCTCTTTATGTATACTCTTTAGGCTGTGAACCATCTGCCGAGTTAAATTTAACTCGCGGTTAAAAGTGACATTTCGAAAGTTATTTTCTATGTTCGAAAATCCCCGTGCTGTCGATCGACCGGTTTTTGAGCCACAGTTGTCAAAATTTAACTTCTTGTCTGTCAGAAATAACCATGCTCAGATAGCAGGGTGATGGCGCGCTTACCCCTACGTTGTGTTTTTTCCTTCGGTATTTTACCCGTCGCACCAAGGGCTCAACGGTGGGCAGCAATCGGCACGGAACTACAACACCAAACGGAGTTCAGGACTTTCTTCAAGGCAATAAAATTACTGCACTTCGTCCTTTAGTACTGCCACACGACACTTTATTTAAAGAAAACTATTTAAAGAACTACTTTTATTGAACTTCTTGCAGGCTGAAACACTTGTGTTGACCAAATTTCTAACGCAGACTGATATGTAGTGGATTGTGGGCCATCGAAAATCACGTATATGTCAAATCAGCCGAGCGGCTGCGGCTGCCAGAAGGGCTAGAAAAACTGGCATAAAAGAGCGCCAGCTAGCACCAGCTCTGAAGTGATCAAAAGAATCTCACTCCGTGCTGCCAGAACCAACATACTCGCCGCCTTGAACGACTATGTTCAACATGCAAATGTAAACAAACAACATAAATTTTTCACTCTTACGGACTAGATATTGCTTCTTACTTTTAACAATTTATCGCTTAATCTATCGAGGTAAATTCAATTTTCCTGGACCATTTGGGTTTCGCTGGACATTCCGGAACCTTCTTCATCGTCTGGGGTCATCGTGGAGTACTGTAGCAAGCAAATTTTTGCAATTGGTCGAGTGATAGTACCACGAGAAGTACGGAGAACAACAACTCGTGTTAGCTTGTCTTTTCCAGGCAGGATCGATTCGATGCGAGCGAGAGGCCATCGAATTGGTGGTTGCATCTCGTCGACTAAGATGACCATTTTCCCTGGTGTGATTTCGTCGTTGCGGTTCCAACCTCGTGTGTCCTTCATCAGCTCCTGAAGATACTCCTTCCGCCAGTGGGTCCAAAACTGTTGGACATGCAGTTGCAGTTGCTGGTAGTGGTCGAGTTTGTATGCCGGAAAGCTTCGGAGGTCTGGGTCGGGCAGAGCATGTAGTGATGAACCAATGAGGAAGTGAGCTGGAGTCAATGCGGCCATGTCGTTGGGGTCTTCGGTCATCGGAAGCAGCGGCCGACTGTTCATGATTGCCTCGATTTGCGTGAGAACGGTACACATTTCCTCGAACGACAAGCGAGATGATCCCAGTGAGCGAAAGAGATGCTTTTTCGCTACTTTGATAGCCGCTTCCCACAGTCCACCGAAGTGTGGGGCCTTGGGTGGTGTCAAATGCCAGGTGATCCCTTCGCTGGCACAAGCAGAGATGATTTCGTCTTGCTGGGAACGGTCACGGAACCTGGTGAATAACTCAACCAGCTCATCATCATCATCAAAATTCTTCCCGTTGTCTGAGTGGATGTGGGTGGGTCGTCCACGGCGAGCGATGAAGCGTCGAAGAGAGGACAAGAAACCTTTGGTGGACAAGTCGCTGACCAATTCCAGGTGCACTGCTTTTGTTGAGAAGCACACAAAGAGGCACAGGTAGGCTTTGGCAGGTGCAGCGCGTTTGTGTAACGGCCGAAGATAAAGTGGGCCAGCATAATCAACACCAGTGACGCTAAATGGACGGCTTGGAATGACTCGTTGTGCAGGCAGCTGACCAATTTGCTGCTGGGCAAGCATCGGGTTGAGGCGAGTACAACGGAAGCAGTTTCGAACGGTACTATGGGCCAGTCTACGTCCCCTTGGTGGCCAAAATTCCTCTCGAACAGCAGTCAAAAGTAGGCGCCCGCCACCGTGAAGTAATTTGCGGTGGAAATGTTCGACGATTAGGCGGGTGAATGGGTGGTTGGTAGGAATCAGGGCAGGGTGTTTGGATTGGTAGGGCAATAGAGCAAAATCAAGACGACCTCCCACTCTCAACACTCCCTCTGGATCGAAAAACGGGCTCATATTGCGTATGTGCGACTGCTTCGATACGGTTTTCTCCTTCTTCAGCTGTTTGATTTCCGCAGCATATCCATCCTCCTGGGCTAATCGAGTGAGATACGTTTTGGCTTTGTTGATTTCTGCTACGGTGAGTGCTTGACCGACGGGAACAGTTGATGGTGAAGGCTGTGTGCGGGTTTTCGAACGGACGTTAACGACGAAGCGCATGCAGTATCCGATGACGTGGAGCAGACGACTGTAGGAAGACCAGCGTAGAAACCATGGGTGGACAGTTGATGACACTTGGGTAACAGCAACGGTAGTTTTTATCTCCAACTCTTCCTCTGGTACTCCCGGGGGGGTCGAAATTGGCCATTTTTGCGGTGAATGCGATAGCCAACTAGGACCACGACTCCACAATTCGCTCTTGAGGAAATCCTCGACTGACATGCCACGCGAGACCAAGTCGGCAGGGTTTTCAACTCCAGGGACATGCTTCCACTGACAACCTTGCGTGTACTACTGAATTTCCGAGACTCTGTTGGCCACGTATGTCGGCCAGACGTTCGGAGGTGATCGTAGCCATTGTAGTGTGACTGCGGAGTCCGACCGGAAGTAGGATGCAGAAATGTTGACGTCGATGGCCTTCTTGATACGAGCGTGTAGATGAGCGGCTATCACAGCTGCACATAATTCCAAACGGGCAATCGTGATTCGTTTCAATGGTGCAACACGGGATTTTGACGCTAGGAGTTGGATCCTCACTCGTCCTTGACTGTCTTCACAGCGGGCGTACGTGCAGGCGTCGTAAGCGGTCTGGGATGCATCTGCGAAGGTGTGCAGCTGGATTACGGAATCGGGAAGGAAGGCATATCTGTCAACACGGTGCTCAGAGATCTTCAACAGTTCTTGTTGATACGTTTCCCATTTTGACTTGACGGGTTCTGGTACAGGGTCATCCCAATCGCAGGAGAGCAGCCATAGTTCCTGGATGATGATCTTCGCTCGTACGACAATCGGTGCGATGAGTCCAAGAGGGTCGAAAAGCTTGGCGGTATCGGAGAGGATGGACCGCTTTGTTGGAGGCTCATCGCTGACTCGAATCTGGGAATCGAAACGAAGAAGATCGGCCTCAGGTTCCCAAATTATTCCGAGTGCCTTGATTGATTCATCTGGGTTGAAGTGGAGAGCGGACTGCGTTCCAACTTGTTCATCCCTTAGACCTTGCAGCACCTCGAGCCGATTTGAAGTCCACTTCCGTAGTTCGAATCAACCTTTTTTCAATAATTCGTCGAGCTCTGTACGCAGACGGATCGCTTCTTCGACGGATTGAGCACCACCGATGAAGTCGTCGACGTAGAAATTCTTCTTCAACGCTGGACCGCCATTCGGGTATGCAGCGCCTTCATCTTCTGCTAATTGCTGGAGAGTACGTGTTGCTAGGTAGGATGATGGGCCCAAACCGTACGTAACGGTCAGCAGCTCGTAGATTTGGACTGGTGATAACTTTGAAAATCGCCACAGGATACGCTGGAATGATGTGTCACCCGGATGGACAAGTACCTGCCGGTACATTTTGGCAATGTCGGCGACTAGAGCGATGAAAAAGGTACGAAACCATAGAATGATGTCCAGGAGATCGTCCTGCACCACGGGACCCACGCAAAGAGCTTCGTTGAGGGAGAAGCCGGTAGAAGTTTTTGCAGAGCCGTCAAAAACGACCCGGACCTTGGTCGTCGTACTTGCTTCCTTAATTACGGGGTGGTGGGGCAGATAGTAGGCTGGAGCATGTTCGTCGTCCGCTTCGACCAATCGCATATGGCCGAGGGAGATATACTCCTTGATGAACTCGTGATATTCATCTTTCAATTTTGGGTTTCGTTCCAAGCGTCTTTCCAGGTACTCGAACCTTCTCTGGGCGTTGTCCCGAGATTTCCCAAGCAATACGTCGAAGTCGGGCTTTCGAGGTTACCGAACTACATATCGACCATCAGAATTTCATGAAACGGTAGACTGATACATGGATTCACAGCGCCGTTCCTCCACTGAGTAGTTGTCCGTGGTTGTCAACTCTTCACTCTTCCAAAATCGCTCCATGATGTCCTCCAGTGAAATCATCGAAACCTCGATCGCATTGCACGAGATAGATGATGCCGATGTCTGTGTGACTGAGCTAGCGTTCGCCGAACCAGCTACAATCCAACCGAAGACGCTGTTGACCAGAAGTGGAAGGTTTCTGTCAAGCTGAATGCGTTCGGAGCTGGGGGAAGAAGGAGTAGAAATGCCTGGCACCTAGAACCATGTCTATCGGTTGACTTTCGTTGAACGATGGATCTGCCATGAACAAATCCTCCGGAATTTTCCATCCAGCAATGGAAATGTTTTGTGAAGGGAGAGCAGCCGTCACTTTGTCCATCACGAGAAAGTTGACACCGCACGAAAAGTTTCCCTTCCTGGACTGCACCTGAGCGAAGACTGATTCAGTGATCGGCTTGGAGAGTTGGCCTGCTCCTTGTACTGTCACGTTCGCGGGCTGTCGTCGCAGCCTCAGAATCTTCGCCATGCGATCCGTGATGAGATTTGGTTGCGAGGCACTGTCAATAAGTGCGCGGGCTAGGTACTCCACACCATAGGCGCCGATGACCTTCACAACAACGGTGAGGAGGAAGACGTTCTCACTAGGATGCTGCAGAGCTGTACTGACTTCAACAGGCGGAAAATTCTCGGAAGCAGCAACCATAGATTGCGTGGACGATTCAATTACAGATGATGCGGGAGAAGGCGGACTCGGATCTACTGTGGCTGGACTAGAAGACGCACGTTCGTTGCTAGTTCTTCGGGCATCATCAGTCTGGCCAAGATGGAGAAGAGTGTGGTGACGTCGGTTGCATTTTCGGCAGTTGAAACTGGAAGGGCAATTGCGAGCAAAATGATCACCTCTCAGGCAGTTGTGACACAGGCGTTTTGAGCTCACAAGCTGCTGGCGTTCACTCGGAGGAAGTCGATTGAATTTGACGCACTTCGTCACGGAATGCGACTGGCTGCAGGCGATGCATTTTTCCCCTGAACTCGTAGTCGATGCACAAGAAGCAAGGCGAAGTTGAGAGTGGATATGAATTTTCCTCGGCGGATGGGAATGACCACTGGAACTAGAAGCAGATTCGGCTGTGGGGTGATTCACGGAGATAGATTCCAATACTCATGTCCTCCGTTGCAGGAAATCGATGAGGCACGTGTAATCCGGGTTCGCTACCGTCGATGCATGGTCCTCCCACGCCTTCAGAGAGTCGTCGTGCAGCCGTGTACACAGAAGATGCTCCAGAATAGCGCTCCACGTATCGGTTGGCTTTCCCAGTTGACGCAAAGTCTTCGTATGCCGCTCGAACTCGTCCACCAATCCATGTAGCACCGTCGCGGACTCCTTCTTCATGCGCGGGATGTCGAAGAGTGCCTGCAGATGCCGTTTCTTCAATAAGTAATCGTTTGAGTACCGGTTCTCCAGAGTCTGCCAAGCCAAAGCGTAATTAGCGGAGCTGATGCCAATCGACTCGATCAATTGAGCAGCTTCACCCTTAACAGCTGCCCGTAGATAGTGAAACTTTTGGATGACCGGCAAATCTGGATTTGAGTGGATGAGCACCAGCACCTTTTGCCTTCGCTTATACTATAAGTACTTTTTATCAAAAAGTAGCCCCGTTAGTCCCCCCGGGGAGAGGTACAAATTTGACCAACCGCGCTGACCTGGTCGGTGGTCGGTGAGATCGGCACTCTACCTTGGGGTCCGTGTAGCTCCTCTCGCTTGATGTAGTGTATGGCACAAGGCTAATGGCACATCGGATGCCTACCTGGCGAATCGGCTGACTCTAGTGCTGGTAGGTAGGCTGATGGGTGAATTTCTGTGTTTTTCGCTGTTTCCATCCATTCCGACCGATTGACTACTGTCTCTGACTATTGACTATTGACTATTGCCGTGTGCACTTTTGTACACTTTTTTTTCTAGGCGCCAGGGGACTTGTGCAAAAATGAGAAGTCCACACACCAAGGCCCATACCAAACAGGCCATGGATGGGAATTTATCTCGTTTTGAATGGCTGACTAGCCGTGCCTACCTGTCTGACTGTGCTCTACCATCTGGCCAGAGGTAGGCTGATATGCGATTTTCAACACTCATTTCACACTCTGTATGTGCTGACCGATCTGGCCTACTCATGCCCAGCGAGGTATATGGCCATGGCACTTTTTTTCCCTTGATTTGTTATCCGTCGATCTTGTTTTCCGTGCTGACCACCAATGCTACCGACGCTAGGGAGACAGCTCCCACACCTGGACCCTACCTATCGACGCATGGAAGGCGTTATGCCTCAGAACATCCCGGCGGTGCCGACTGGGATTGAACCCAGGCCTGCTGCGTTCCAGTATCCCAGATACTTGCTGTAAGACGTCGCACGCAAGGGCTTTGTCTGCGTGCATCCAATAAGATGTCAATGTGAGAGCACGCTAGTAAGTCTTGTAGGTTTTTTTGCCACATGATCGCCGACCACCTATGGGGGACACTATCAGCTCGGTTTGGTTACGACCTTAGAGGCGTTCAGGCATAATCCAACGAACGTACACGCAAACCAAAAATCTATTACAATGAATGTTAGTTCCGTTTCCTATCATCCTCTGTTCATGAACATCGCAACGAATGTTATAAATTGGCCATGCAGGCGATGTAATGGTTTTTTGTCTTTTTTATTTCGTGTTCTATCTACGCTTTCGACTATGCCAGTAAGCTTGTAGAACGACGCACATTGTAGAACATTGTAGAACGACGCACACACTTGCCTCGAATCTCTCCAGCAGAAAAAGTATACGAAGTCGAGTATGCGAGAAAATAAGCACTTCATGTTTGCTTTTAGGCTATCGATATTCAAAAGCATTGAGAGAGTAGTGGAGAAAGCACAGGTCTGATAATCGCAACGTTCGTGGTTCGAGTCCATCTGTTTCCTATTTTTTTTCGACATAACTAATCTCACTCACTAATACACTCTACATTTTTCGGTCTCCAATTTTCTTGCATTGGACCGCAGCTAGGTATATCGCATCCTCGGTTCATGCGGTCTCCACTAACATCCTCTGATGATGAATCCCACATAAATGTAAGCGATTCTTACATCCCCAGGTTGGGTGTAGCGTTATACCAAAGTCCGGTCGAACTAGTATTGATGAGCCATTGGATCTTAGCTGTGGTCCCTCTCGTACTACACAGCAATTCCGTTAAGATAGCTCAACAATATCGCACACCAGGAGGGTAAAACTAACCTGTCTCACGACGGTCTAAACCCAGCTCACGTTCCCTTGATAAGGTGAACAATCCTACGCTTTGTGAATTTTGCTTCACAATGAGGGGAAGAACCGACATCGAACGATCAAAAAGCCCCATCGCTATGAACGTTTGGCGGCCACAA